AGCACAAGCAGGGGAAGCAGCAGGCAGAGGGAGAGAGAGAAGCAGGCTTCCCACTGAGCAGGGAGCCTGACGCAGGGCTCGATCCCAGGACCCTGGGATCATGAGCTGAGCCAAAGGCAGCCACTTAACAACTGAGCCACCCAGGCGCCCTCACCTTAAAATCATTTTTAATGAAGTTTCTCAATACTTCAGTCCCAGGAATTGAACATAAAAAGCTTAAAATGTCTAAATTTTACACTGACCCCTTTATATTACAGTAGCTCAAATAAATTCAGGTCATACTATAAAATTTTCATACTCTTGGATTTCAACTATTTTTATTAATATGGTGGCTAATTATATACACATATATGTATACATATACATATAAAATAGCATATTAACTTCAAATTAATTATTAAGGCATTAAATCTCAAAATTATTCTTTCAATCATTTTTTAAAAGAATAATAAATTTTCCTATTTCTTTTATTTGGATTATTTTACATTTCAACATCTTCCTAATAGACCACATCAGTACCACTAACCTTATTAAGTATTAAAAATATATGCATTATGGGGAACATAGGGACATAAGCAAGTATATGATTCCAGATCTTCATAATAATTATACTATGTATGAAGTATCTAAAACTTTATCAAACAACTAACCTTTGCTCTTGACATGAGAAATTTGACAGCTCGATCATGGCATATATCTGAGGCACTATACAATAACTCCTGGATATTATTTGCCAGTTTTTCTAGCTCTAAATCAGTTAATTTCATGTCTTCATTGACCCTGAAAATGATAAAAAGAGATTAAGTCAGGGAAAATTGTGAGTATATTGTCCTTGACAGGTAGCATACCAATAAAAAACAAAAAGCTATAAAATTCACATCTGATGAAAAATTCTGTGATGTATCAAACACTTTTTTTGTGTGTGGTGAAGCATCACTTAAACAAGCTCAGTTAATACAAATATTTTACCCTAATCTTATATAAAAATAATTTTCTCCCTCTGCTGTAGTATTTTCTGTAGTTATTTCAGACTCTGATCGGACATTCTGCAAAAACTACAGCAAAAAAAAAAAAAAAAAATTCCAGGAAGGTACAAGGTGGTAGGTGTGGCACACTGTGCACAGGTGCCTAGGATGACACACGGGAAGGGAGAGCAATGAAGAGATGTTATTTAATGCAAATAGGCACTCCTTTTTTTTACTTAGAATTTTGAACGATAGTTGATATTCAGTTCAACTGAATGAACTAATATTTCCTAAGCATTTATTATGTTTAAGTGCTAGGTACTGGAGGGGACACAATAGATTGCTGTCCTCAAGGAACAGTTCTGCGGGAGCTGGTATCGAAATAGCACTGGACTCTTTATATAGAAGTAAATGTGAGTTCAGAAAAATAATCATATGGAAAAACAGAAAACAGACTCATACTACTATACACAAAAGTCCATTCCAGATGGCTTGTAGATCTAAATGTGATGAGGGTAGCAACAAGGCTTCTAGAAGATAACATAAGAGAATATCATCAAGGCCTTAGGGCAGAGAAAGATTTCTTCAATAGGACAAAAAAAAAAAAAAGCCCAAACCATAAAGGAAAAGAATGAACCATAGGATTATATTAAAATTAGGAACTGTTGTTCATCAAAGACCCCAATAAGAATAGGAGAAGATATTTATAATCTGGACAACCAATAATAGGCTTGTGTTGAGACTACATAAAGAACTCCCATAAATCAACAAGAAAATACAAACCAACAGAGAATTGCACAAAGAACTTGAATAGGCTCTTCACAGAAGAGGATATCCAAACAGTCAATCAATATATGAAAAGTGATCTCTTACCAATCATCAGGGAAATAAAAATTAAAACTAATATACCTGCAACATACCCACCAGAATGCCTAACATGTAAAAGACTGACAATACCAAGACTGAATGAAGACATGGAGTGCCAGGAACTCTGTTACATTGCTGATGGATTGTAAATGAGTACAACCCCTTTGGGAAATTTTTTGTCATTAGCTAAACTGACTATTCACATACCTTATTCATTCTTAGGTATATATTCAACAGAAATGCTTATAACCTGTGCACCAAAGACACTTAGAAGAATGTTCACAACAATCAAAATGGAAATAACCCAAATTTAATTTATAGTAGGAATATTTTGTACACAAATAAAAATAAACTACTGCTATATGTAACAACTTAGAAGAATATCACAAACATAATAATACTGAGTGAAAGAGAATTGAGACAAAAGAACATGATTCCCTTTATGATTTCATTTGTATAAAGTTTAAAAACAAGAAAAACCAACCATTTTCATGCTTTCCTTTGGGAAAGAGTGAAAACGTAGTCACAAAAGGGCCTTCTAGAGAGCTGGTAATGCTCTATTTCTTAATTTGGATGATGATTACACCAGCATAGTCACTTTATGGTAATTGAGGTGAACACATATAACTGATGTATTGGCTTCTATGTACATTATACTCCAGTTAAAAAGTTAAAATAAAAGGGGGGCGAAGATGGCAGAGGAGTAGGAGACCTGGATTTCGCCTGGTTCCAGGAATTCAGCTGGATAGGGATCATACCATTCTGAACACCTACGAACTCAACAGGA